TATTATATATTATATATTATATATTCTATATTCTATATAATTATTATTATAATTATATAATCTGCTTTTGAATAAATTGAACCTTCCTCCGAATAACGCAGTTTCTTATGAATTATCCTTTTATTCAATGTAATTTTTTTTCATTCCAATATCAAAACATAATTATTCCTTTAATTCATGATAAAATTGAAAAGAAATATTTTATTTATCTCTACAATATATCTTTTTCATTTTCGTTATTTAGACAGATGGCTACAATTTTCAAAACTTATCGAGAATTTGGATCATTACCCTATTGTCGGACTGATCCATGCTAAATCGAATCAAAACGATCTTACGTACGCTGCAATACAACGATCCAGTGCAATGGCTTTCCCATCGTTTCCGGTCGCTGCTGCCTTGCACGCAGGATTGCTGCCCGCGGCGTCGGGTTCTATTAGGATTAGCCTTAGTCGTCCGCGCTCCACGTCGAAACTGACTTAGTACGGTAGACTAGCAGCCGCCGAGACCCGAGGTTCGATTAAAGCCCGCTCGAGGCTCGTCTTGTAGCGCGCCAGAAGAGGCCCGCTCTTGGGGCCCGCCGATTATTACCGCGATTTCCTAAATGGCTAAGATTGTAATCCCCGTTAAATTGCGCACATATCTTTCCCCCTCAGCCAATTCTCCTTCCTTTCTCTTGTTGCTGCTCTTCTCCTCACTGTATTCTTTCAGAAGCTACTATCTTCCAGCGTTTCATCACGAATCCTAAGCATGCCGCTCTATGTGTGTGTTACATTCGTTTTATATTTATCCGTGCTTATGTTTATACGTGCAGACGCGTTCATTGCCTATATATAAATTGATTTACACTACTAAAAAAAAAAATATGAAACACTTTTCATACTCTAAAAATTGAGCTATTTTCAAACCGCTGAAACTCGACGAAAAATCATTGTAGGCAAAAAATTAAAAAAGCATTTTGTAGCTTGAAATTTCAACTTTAACGCGCCATATGTGATTTTAAAAAATTTTGTATCTTCCTGGTTGTGTGCTCTAAAAAAGAACACATTGTTTTGTTCCTTAAAATTACGTATTTTTGGCACTCTGTAGTTCGATAAAAAAATTTCTCTCGAAAAATTCAACTCAAGTTGCACAAACTACAACATTTTACCTACAAAATGCTTTTCTTTAAATCTTGCTACGATTTTTTTTGACCGAGTTACACGATTTTGAAATTAAATCTGTATTTTTTAGAAATGATGTCGATACTCGGTGAAAAATCATCGTAGACAAAAAATTAAAAAAGCATTTTGAAGCTTGGAGTTTCAACTGTAACATGATATCAATAGTTCCAAAAATTTTTTTTATTTTCTAGAAAATACAGGTTTAATTTCAAAATCGTGTAAATTGGTCAAAAAGAAATCATAGCAAGATTTTAAAAAAAGCATTTTGTAGGCAAAATGTTGTAGTTTGTGGAACTTAAGTTGAATTTTTCGAGAGAAATTTTTTTATCGGGCTGCAAAGTGTCAAAAATATGTAATTTTAAGGAACAAAACAATGTGTTCTTTTTTAAAGCACAGAAACAGGAAGATACAAAATTTTTTTTAAATCATCTATGGCGCGTTGAAGTTGAAACTCCAAGCTACAAAATGCTTTTTTAATTTTTTGTCTACGATAATTTTTCATCGAGTTTCAGCGGTTTGAAAATAGTCCAATTTTTAGGGTATGAAAAGTGTTCCCTATTTTTTTTTTAGTAGTGTATGTGATTTATGTATACATGTTATTTTCTCTCTTTTTACGCAATCTAATAATACTTATGTTACGTATGTCTATGCACAGGATAAATATATCAGTGAATGACCGGCCAAAGATTTATTACATTATTATATAATGTAATATATGTTTGTATCATGGAATGATTATTCTCTCTCTCTCTCTCTCTCTCTCTCTCTCTCTCTCTCTCCCTCTCCCCCCTCTCTCTCTTTCTCCAACATCAAGTTTAAGCTTTATTATTGATTAAAATCAAAAATAAAAGAAGCGATTATTATTTAAATGCCTTAATAAATAAAAATTGTATTGCGCGCTCTCACACGTTTAACTTATATATATTAATTAAATATCAATTTAATTAAAGATTCTTTTGAATAATATTTTTATATTTACGGATTATTCGCTGGTGCGTCAACTCTGTTTGTGACATATTAATTGGGTGAGCCGAACATTCCTCTCTCCTTTGACCGATCGGCAATCAGCGCGATTTTCGCAGATCACGAATCTTTGAAAATATGCGGATATCGCACATCCGATAACGGTAGTAGATAGCGGCACGAAGGCGCGGTGAAGGCGAAGCGAGAATCCGCTTTCGACTGATCCAAGTGGGAGGATCTTCGTGAGTTAGAGCATTATGTAATAACGCCACGGTGACTTTTACCCGCCGCCACGGGTGGTTGCTTAATGTGCGGAATCTGCGCGGGATCCGCCACGCTAACAATGCGTGATTACTTCGCCGAGCAATTTATGCCGTGCGATCCTCTCCTCATCTGCATCGCTCGTTTCTGTTTCACTCCAGACCGATCATTATCATTATCGTGTTGCTATCTTCTGTCTTATGGCGGTATTTAATTATTATTGTGTCGTTTCACCGAGCATGCATGTCAAATCGGAACAATTTCAAGAAAATAAGTCAATGATGATGCTTGGTATCTGACTCGTTCCAAGCAGTCTTAAATTACCGACATTTGTTTGCGAGCGATAAGAGAGGAGAATCTGTCAATCGAACGTAATTGTGCTATAAGGAACCAACTGCTATATTTTTGCAATTTTTAATTTTGTAGAATGTGTGCTCCCGAAAGAGAACGCGTAGCTTACGTATAAATTTAGAACGAACACTTAACACTTTCGATACTTTAATGATTATTTTAGATGTAATGATAGATGTAGAATTTTAATTGCAATTGTATATTTTTATTATTTATATTTTTTAAACGGCGAAAATTTATTTCTATGATTAGCTCTATGTTGCACAATTACGTCTAATAGATCTTTTGTCTGTGACGAGAATAAAACTTGTACAGCTTTATTAATGATAAAAATGTATGTTTTCATAGGCATTTATTTATTTACGAACAGCGTTTCCTCTCATGTTTGTGTTTCATCCGTTATATGAAGCGATTTGTAACAAAAAAAAAAATATTGCAGACATACATATGATTAGATACAATTGTCGTATGAGAATCAGTATACGCATGCGAGAACGGTCCCTGTAATTTTAACTCTAGGATAAGCGATATAAATAATTATTATCAAATTACATTATAGAAGTTCTACGAACGCGGCAAGGCTGCTTGGAAGGAGATAGATTGCGTTTATAATCTAATTTCTATGCTGGATCAAACTCAGGAGAGAAAAGGTTGAATCAATTTGCGTCGCTTCGCTACTTGGCGTTTGTGCCAGTAAAACTCGCAGCACAGGAGAAATATCGATCCGGTCACGCCTGAAAAAAGCGAAATAAAGAAATCGCGATATTATACTCTTGAAGTGTATGCTCGTGAGGAAAAAAATATATATGTTACCCATGAAAAGAACGAAAAATATGCCTTGCATATCCGCCACATTTACTTTACGTTCGTTTACGCCTTGATTGGCGGAGATGTCCGAGCATTTGTCTTTCGTCGGTATTTGCTCCGTTACCCATTTGTTCATCAATCCAGACTCGTGCATGCGATGTAATCTAAACGACAAAGTTGATGCAAATTGATAGATTTGCCAGGTGATCATTATCGAGACATGTGACTAAATTTCGATTGATATTTTTTGACATTATAAAAATTCACGATAAAATTATCTGTACAGATTATTTGCGGAAAAATTCAAAAATTACGAAACTATATAAAATTTACGTATAATACGTCACAAATTTGATGTATAGTAAAATACTAATTAAAATTATTTTACTCCGCATTAATGATATTTATATAAGGGCTGTCTTGTGCAATGATCATTGCTATGGGTTCGTCCATAAATTCGTCAGTGCTCAAGGAAAAGGAACATCCCCCAGTTGTTAACATATCGCTCCTCATCAAGAATCTGTTCGGACAAATCGTATCATTGTCGTCATTCCTATCGCTAATTTGTTCTACATATCGATATAGAAAAAAAAATATTTAAATAAAAAAAAACTTTTAAATATGTCTTCGTTTCTTGTTATAAAATTCTTTAGAAAAATATTTATAGTACGAGATAGAATTAGTAACATTTACTTATACATATAATATTGCTTTTCTTCTCGAAAAAATTTTTCAAGAATTTGTAAGTACATCGGAAGCAATTCACAGGACTTTCATTTAAAGTTATAAGATTACCTCAATGTGCTTCTCCAGTCGATTAAGGCATGCTTTCCCGCCTTTACCTTCTCGATAATTTCCATTTCTTGCGTCGCGTTATGAATTATGGCTCGCTTCAGCAGAATATGATACTTCTCCTCCTCTGCATTTTTCAGATACTCCTCCAAATAACTGCTGTTAGGAAAGCCCCAGGTTAATCTGTTTTTATTAGCGAGGAGAGCATCCAAGGTCAAGATGGCAGTGTCCATATTTGGGAATGTCAGAAATGCGACCAAACTTCCGGAGTAAGTCGCTACCAAGACCATCACAACCAGCCACCAAATGGCGATCAGCCAGCGAGCGCTATCGAAATGGGGTAAGTACATTCCCCCTAAAATCATTCGTGTGCGCTTTGTTTTTTTTCTCCTTCGAAAAGATATAGTCCTTTAATTTTAAATAAATATGAATTTTCTTTCTTTGACAAAAACATCGAGAACGATCCGTAAAGATGAAACAATTTGTAATTGATAATAAAATCTTTAGATTAAAAATGACTGAATAAAGACTTGAGTTACTTTATATAATACAGAATAAAATGATATTACCTTGCTGAAGAAGAGCACCGTAGACATACCATATACATTGCCAGGAGGAGTTGAGCCCTGATATCTTCGTGCTGCACGGACTGTACTTATGAATCAGGTATAACGTCGGACCCATTATAATAATGGATGCTGCCAGGCAGGCCCATGTCTGTAAGCAAAACTAGCCCGTTTAGAGGTACACGCTTGTTACAAGCGCGTGAAATAGATCAAGCTAATCGAGTACTGGAAAACAGTTGATACGCCGTTCGATACAAGGTAACTGTTGTCCGATCTCGATTTGCAATCTCATGATAAATCTTTACTATTTTTATATAAGAAACGTGTGTAGCTTTATAAAGATCCCGCATTTATATAATTCTTAATTTATATGCGAAGTAGCATTATTATATTTATTTCTATTGTATAATGTCATTATATTTTATTAATAATGTGACGAACTAAAATACAGACTTCTATCGAGTCTTACTCTGGCGATGATGAACTTTTACTTTTTTTATCTTAACCTTAGCATTCTTAAACAATTGTAATACCATTCTAATGAAATTTTTTAAATATACTGTTTATTGCATTACATTTATGTTGTGCATTATACAAGCTTTGTTTATTAAAATACAAAATGTGTTAGCGCAAATTATACCTCCTTGGCGAAGGGCGCAGTGAACAGCAACGCTCTAGAAAGTTGACCCGGTTTCGCAGTCAGGAAACTATATGTCTGCATAAAGATCGGTATGGTAAAATTGATCTCATTCTTTCCGCGATTATTTACAGTATAAGCACAGGCTGCAAGGAGAACCCTCTTCCCAATGACCATATCTATTATTGCCAGTGGCATTTCTCTCGTCGTTGACGTTAATACCTTCGGAAACGTTTGAAACGTTTGTCAGAAAGCATAGAGTTGGATTTACAGTTCAATTCAAGTTACAGCGGAAATTTTATCTCGAACATCTCGTATGAAAAGAATAAATTTGTACATAATCGTTTTTATGTTTTTTAGATTTTTCATCGTCATAGTGAAGTCTAGCGTTGAGCATTCGAAACAGAGAAATATTGTTGCATGAACTTACCATGTCGGTTTTAGTTTTGTTCTGAGTAAACTTGATGGTCCGATTGCTCTGTGAACTGAGCACGGAGTACGTAAAGTTCATTTTTTTCCCCAAGTATTTGACGACATCGAAAACCAGTCCGCCGTATTCTTTTTCACCGGAGTTGGTCAACGAGATGGTTTGCCACGGTGGATTCTGAAAAAGGACGTGAGCTTTCATGCGACAATCAACGGGGAAAGATTCACGTTTACACCTACATGATATGTAGCGATCGGTAAATTGATTCCTCGAAATCCGTGCGCGACATGAGGAAAGATGACGTCTGTCAGATTGATACCGAGAGTGAGAAACCACGATCCCGAATCTATCAAATGCGCGTTGTTCTTGCCGCGGGCGAAGAAGTTGCCCCATGTTATGGCCGAGGCGAATCGCCAAAACAAACATCTACCGCAAGTGCCGCCCGTGGCGAAAGTATCTTGAACAAGTTTTATCTGCGAGAAAAATGGTTGTGCGCGTATAGAACTTGCGACGAGAATTGATCATCGATGATAGAAATAGACGATTCCTTGCAGACATTTTTTTTTTTTTTGAGCCATTTTTCTCTCTTAAGAATATACAGTGTATTTGATTTAAGTGTATACAGTCAGTTATTTTTTTAAATAATAGAGTTATATTAAAATATATATTTAAAATGTTTTAAATAAAAGTTATTTTGCTTAAGGGAACTAGGCACTCGTATTTGTCGAAAATAAAATCTTTTTTGGGAATGTATTACAAAAAAATGAATTAAAATCGAAAATTGTCCTTTAGCAAAATGTTTATTAGGATCATAAACCATTAAAAAAAAATTTATTCTAGTTGGGAATATGCATTAAAAATGGCGCTGCAGATGACTGATCGAAAAAGATTTTTAAATAAGTTCTGCAGTGATAACTCAAATACAGAAGCTTAAATCGACGTGAAAAAAATTGAGCATGTTCATAATATGTATAATTTCGGACTGAACCTCTAAAAAATCTGTGCAAACTTTAGTTTTTGAGAAAAAGAAATCAAACAGGCGATTAAAATGGAGATTTTTTTAAAAAAGTTCGTTTTTTGTCGAAAAACAGACCTGTTTGATTTTTTTTCTCAAAAACTAAAGTTTGCACAGACTGTTTAGAGGTTCAATTCGAAATTATATATATTGTAAACATGCTCAATTTTTTTCAAGTTTGAGTTTCTGTATTTGAGTTATCACTGCAAAACTTACTTAAAAATCCTTTTCGATCAACCATCTGCAGCACCATTTTTAATACATATTCTCAACTAAAAAAATTTTTTTTATAGTTTATGATCCTAATAAACATATTATTAAAGGACAATTCTCGATTTTAACTCATTTTTGCTTCCTCATAGAAAAAGCTTTGTTTTCGTGACAAAATTTTTTTCGAGTTTTTTATGCCAATGTGTTCAGAATGTTCGAAAAGGTCAAAAAATCATATTCCTAAAAAATGTATGTATATATGTACGTATGTATGTACGTATGTACGCAATTTATTGTGCAATCTCTAACATCCGCAATTTTTGAGATATCTAGTTAAATTTTTTTACATGGATAAAATATTATTAAAGGATGAAGGGTATTGAATTTAATGAGGATGGGTGAAAGAATTAATTTTTTATAAAATTTTGAATTTTTTGAGAAATTTTTTTCTGTACACATCCTAACTTTCGCAAATTTTAAGATATCGAGTTAAATTTTTTAACGTGAATAGAGTATCATTAAAGGATGGTTGGTATTGAATTTGGTGAGGACCGGTGACCGGTTTTTATAACATTTTTTTAAAATGTTGAATTTAAAAAGAAATATTTTGTAATATCCTAGGTGTGATTTTCCAACATTATAAACATGGGCGTATATTGGCCCGATTTTGGCTTGCCAGTGAATTTCTAAAGCTAACATTAGGTTTAAATCGAGCCGATTTTACATTCCTCTACTTCCTTTATGAGGAAGCAAAAATTGAAAAACCCGCTTGCTTTAAGGAGCTTAAGCTTTGTGAGATAAAATAATGAGGAAGCAATGTGTAAGTTTCTAATTTGCACAATTTTCAGCTTGTTTTGTAATAAATTACCAAAAAAAGACTTCATTTTCGACAAATACGATTGCCTAGTTCCCTTAAGAAGATCTATATAACGATATAAATAAAATTCCATAAATATTATGGCTTAATATGCAATAAAGTAAGATTTTCAATAATTGTTTATAAGATATTATCATTTGTGTCGCTTTTAAATAAGCGAAAAGCAAAATATCTCTAATAAAAACAGTCATGGACAATACTAAAAAAAAAAAATAGTTTAAACGGATGGAAGACGTAATAAAGCCTCAAATCAGCCCCAAAATACCGCTTTTTCTTAATATTTGCGGAATCAATTTTCTTTCATATCTTATTATTATTAGTAAATATAGAAGATATATGGAATCTTAGGAAATGCAAAAATATTTTTTTTTATTTTGGTACCATCCATTAAGAAATACAGGGTGGTCCATTTTAAAAGAGCCAGTCAAATATCTCGAAAAATATGGAAGATACGGAAAAACGTTTCAGACAAAAGTTGTTTGGTTCGAAGGGGGACATAAGATGGTGCCATTGATGTGACCTTGGATAGTCATTTGAAGGTCACATGAAGGTCACTTTCAATTTCTTAAATGGAAACCCCCATTTTTCATTGCATATTCTTATAACTTATGTCGGGAGCTTTCCAAAACACTATAATGAAGTATTTTTCATTAAATACTTTTTGAGTTGTTTTATATCTTAATCTGACATAATTTGATATAAAAAATAAAATATCTCGTAAATTATTTTCTCGTTAACAATAGGTTATTTTCTTGGCCGTCGGGAAGAATGCGCGATTGCACATGCGCGAAAGAGGAAAGTATCTTATTATTTCGGCAGACAGTAAGATATAGAATCCTATATAATCAAAGAAGCGACATCGTTACCCCCTCCATGCTTCCCATGATCGCCATGTTGGTCCCGCAGTTGCTCATTTGTAATCTAAAATGTCTTAAAAATGTCTCAGAGATATTTAAAATGTTTTTTTTTAGAAAATAATATTACTTGGCGTCGGGACGCTACCGCATCGCTTGACAAATATACTTTTTTCTCACTTACGGTACGCCGGTTGCGGTTAGTTGGGCCCATGGCAGTCAGCCAATCAGCAAGCGAAACGCCATTGTCGCTTCTCTGATTATATAGGACTCTAGTAAGATAGATAAAGCTTTATCTATATATAATATATCTATGGTCAATCTCTAATAGACGAGTCAGAAGTTGGCCATAACACAGGGCAGAAGGTGAAAAGATAGACGTCGCTCGCGATATTTCGCTATGCTCACAATAGAGTTCAGTTTGAATCATTTAATTTGATATGTATTTGTTATGATTTATCTCTTTTAGTATAAAAGAAAAAAGGGGGTGGCCACTTTTGGTGGGACACCCTGTATAGTGTGATTACATAAGACACGTAAAATTGGTATATAAATAATATTACAATGCGCGGGTTGTAAAAAAAAACTTGAACAAAATCTATCCCACATTCACAGCACAAGATACAATTTGTTTTATGTTCTGTTGCGAGTATTATTTGAAAAGATAAGCTATCTTATTTATTTGGACATCATTATTTATTCGTTTTATTGATATATCAACAATATTTTAATGCGGTCTTGTTTAAGTAGTTATTGAAGGACAGAAAATGCCTAAATCATGCTTTTGTTGCTGTAAATAAAGTAAATATTTCGATACAAATTATACATTTATTAATATTACTAGTAATACTATGGGCCAGAGCACAAACTTTTGCATAAGCGCATAACCATAAGCATAAGAAAATTGATTGGTCCATTTCCTTATGCATATGCTTATGGACCAATCAATTTCCTTATGCTTATGGTTATGCGCTTATGCAAAAGTCTGTGCTACGGCTCTATCAATTTATAACAAAAACAAAACGAAAACAACTGAGGCCGATTGAGGCCTTTATCGCAAATTATATTTTCGTTAAAGTCATTATACATATATAAATCTTCTTAAACAAAATAATTTTTATTTGAAACTTTTTTATAACTTTATCATGTATATATAATTTTATTTAAAAAGATAACTGAATGAATACACATTTAAATATGCATAAAGGATTATACCTTATCGATTTTATCGCTATTTAGATATATGGTATGGGAAATTGTTCTGAGTAATTTCCTACAAAAATAAAGTAAGGGACGGCATTAGTTTAGGTTTAGGAAATACAATAAATTAAAGTTTGGCAATTTTAACGTTTTTTCTTAGGGAATATGAACTGATATTAGGAACAATCAAAATTTGTCTACGCTGTATTACTTTTCTTGCTGATCGAAAAGTTATTCACGGACACATTAAATGTCCACGGTATGAAAAATATTTTTTATTGAATGCGTGGGCGGGAAAATGACACGGCCGCTCTCCTAGCACCCCTACCCCCCAAAAATTCTAACTTAACCCAATCCAACTCATAATTTTCTGACACCATTTAAGAATTATATACTCCGACTGATGCTTGATTTCTCGGAGAAAAGTTGGGTTAGATTAAAGTTTTTTTGAAATGGGTGTGCAAGAGGAGAGACTTTACTCCTCCCTCTCCTATACGTGAAAGTCATACACAGACTTCTTCAGTCAAGAAGTAACAGATTATTACAGTATAAACTTTACTATCAAACTTTGATTTGTCATAGAACCTCCCCTACAACGTATCTAATTGTAAGTGGCGATAAAATCGGTAAGATGTGATTTTTTATGCATATTTATCCTTAAATTAGAAATACACACACCGAGTGGGCTCAAACGTTCCGGCCCGACTTTGAGATTTTATAGGAAATTTAATTCTGAACAAAAAATTTCCTATAAATTACAAATTTCCTATAAATTACGAAAAATGCTTTCTTAAAAAGTTAGCGCCCAAAAACCTTTGAAATCACGGATATTTTATACATTTTTACAAATATCAAAGAAAGTATGCGCTTTTAACAAAAAATACCCAAACAAAAGTTGTAGAGAATTAAATTATCTTTCAAATGAGATCAAAATGATTGTAGAACGCCCCAAAAAATGTATTAAGTTTTATTTTCTTTTTATTTCACTTTCTTTTCACCTTTTGCTCTTCCTTTCATCCTCCTATGATGATTCGTTTAAACAATGCAGAAAAGTAAATTTTTTTTAATGGAATAACCAACAAGCAAAATAAACATTAAAAATTAGCTAAGGCCATAACAGCATAAATGAAGAGTATTTTTAAAAAGCTCTACCGTCGATATCCGAAAAAAAATTTTTTGTACATTTGAAACTGGTTATCTCAAAACCAATGGAACGTACTACAATCATTTTGATCTCATTTAAAACATAATTTAATTCTCTACAACTTTTGTTTCGGTATTTTTTGTTAAAAAACGCATACTTTCCTGATATTTGTAAAAATGTATAAAATAACCGTGATTTCAGAGGTATTTGGGCGCTAATCTTTTAAGGAAGCATTTTTCAACTCATGTTTATAAGAAACTTTTTGTTTAAAATTAAATTTCCTATTAAATCTCAAAGTCTGGCAAGAACGTTTGGGCCCATCCTGTATATTTGATGTGATAACGATATATGTAATGATATTATATATAAAATTAAGAGAGAAGAATATACTTGAAATATGAGAAAAATGTGATTCCACGAATAAATCTCTGTGCATATAAATTGTTTATCCAAAAAACTACTAGTTATAAGATATCGTTTTTGTATCATCAATATTTCTAAGCAATGTTAAATAGTTGTGAATATACGAGCCTTGATATGTTTAAGAATCTCCCGATGTCTTTCGCGCTTGTTCAATCGGACGATTTCGAATTCCTCATCGCTCACGTGGTTGTATAATTCTATTTCGGTCATCAACGATAATTTCAAAGCATTAGCCAAAGCCACAATTAACTCTTGGATATGACACATTAAACTGTTCTGGAAAAGAAATAAATTTTCTTCAGAGATACATATCGAGAAAAAGAGAAAAAATGAAAATTTTTCTGCAAAAGATGATCTTTTTATTAATCAGTCTACATCTTCGATCATCATTCGATCATTTATATTACAAGTTTATCTCGAGCAATTGAAATATGTACACATAAAATCAAGCAAGAATAGCTGGATAGATTACATTGCAATATGTATTGCTGTCCGTCGCGTTATAAATGAAAGCCACATTACTACCTTCCGACAATAGGTCGATGAAAGTGGTAATATTTGTAGAGTTTCCTATTACAGTATCAGTAATGATATATAACCATTGACTGTCAGGTTGAACCATATTCAACATCTTTGCCTAAATAATACGAAAGTAAATTATATCTATAATTTCTAAGGCTTTCATTTTGTGAATAAATATCACATATACATATTTAAAATAGAGGGAACATGTTACACACAATTGGTAAGATTTTATTTAGAAGACTTTTTATATTCAAAATGGATTTTACGTATTATGAAACATATTATTTTATTTTTGCACTGAATAATTGAAATAGGCATTTAAATGATAAATAAGACTTCATGCGCGTCTCACAGCTTCCATAATGTCGGTCGCTGCGTCTATCGTGACGATTACGAGGAAGCATTTTCCCAATCGGTCCACGTGAAAATTCTGAAGTATGTCTTTTATGTAATATCTTCTCTTACGCTTAGAATCACCGTGTTTAAACGCAAACAGCGACCTGGAGACCAGATTAAATCTCTTGTTTGGCAATGAGATCGATATAGCTCTTGTAACTCGGTTGACTACGTCTCTATCTACAATGCATTAGTAAGAAAAATGTCAGGATGCCGAAAAATGACATGCGAAAGAAGACGAGGAGAGCAATAAAGGAGAGAAAGATGGACGATTAATGATTAAACTACGTCACCGAAAGTATCATCGTGTAATATGTTGACGTTGTTCCAGAGCAAAGCGTCGGCCATCCTAATATCGTAGAAGATCTGGGACAATTCTTTGCCTGGCGATATCAAGGGAACGCTCACACCTTCCGAATCGGGTAACCGTGGACAATCTTGCTCTTCAAATATAAATAATATTTAACAGTTCCATCTTTTGCTATTTTATGTTATTTGATAAAGCATACGGCATTGAAATTTCTATATAATAAGCAATTAAGTCAGAGGCAAAACGTATCACGTTGACATAACAGAATCTCTCTGTAGCGAATGAGATAGTAGATAACATAACTAAAATAGCGAGATAATGGTATTTGCGAGCAACATGTCTCTTAGTCACTGTTTATAATTGCAGTTGAATGTGTCCTCGCGAGCGGAAGGCAAATTTTTTTACGCACGTTTTTTTCTTTTTTACCGAGAAAATCTTTTCATACGTTCATACATACCTGTTATCGCTAAATGCACGATTTCGTCCTTACGCGCTACATTGTGTAGACTCCACGTTTTATGACAGGTTGCCACGGATAGAAGCACTGTATAATCTTTACACATATGTTAAACATGAACAAATATTATCAAAGAGAGATTAATATGTGTAAAAATTTTTTTCTTTAATCATTGTATATAAAAAAATCCATTTTTTTTTTTTTTTTAAATAAAGAACCGATTGAAAAATTTCGTTCTATATGAGAAAAGCGTATTGAAGCGAACAATGACAGTTTTGTCTCAAATTTACTGTAAAAAAAGTTTCGTATTTTCAATTGTGTTGACGAATATAACAAATTTTTTTTATTTCTTTTTGCACGATCTAATATCTAATATCTTATTTCAATTAGATTGATCAACAAACTGATCCGTATAGCAAACTCTTTACCAGGCAAGTTATATTTGATTACCTAATATACTTTGCGAGAAAATATGTATAAGATGTATATCGATCGCGCGTATCATGCAAATATCAAACAGGATTACACAATATTCTAAAATATTATAGATTTATAACTTATGAAAGAGATTAGAGAGATATACATAAATAAAAAAAACTAAATTTTTTTTTCATTGACTACGATTTTTTGTGAAAAAAGCAAGTCTTGTCTTGTTTAAAACTTTTGTGTTTTTTTTTTTCATATACACATATATATGTTTTTTTAACATCTTTATTACCGTTAAAGAATACCGAAATCTTTTACAATCGGCTTTCTCTATCCATTCGCAATTCACGAATGCAAGTATTTTATTTTAAACTAAATATTAATCCTTTTATTTTTTTATTTTATTTTTTTGAAAACAATTTTGATGGATTAATGAGATTTTTGTGGTAAAATAATACTAAAAAACACAACATAATTTGAATAATTTTCAGTTAGATACATAATAAATATTTTTGTTATGCATCTAATTGAAAATTATTTAAATCATGTCGTGTTTGGTGTACTTTGCCGTAAAAGTCTAATTATTTTACTATTATTTTTGAAAAAAAAATTAGAAGCATAAGATCTTTATTTTTTTATTACATTAACAAAAAATATGAAGGGAAATATAATACTAAAAAAAAAATAATGAAAAAACCACACACATACACACACGCGCGCACACGCACACACGCACGCACGCACGTATTTGTTTTAATGAAAAAACCGGTTTTTTAAATGTATTTTTTTTTTTTTTTTTTAGGAAAAAAGTGGTTTTTTCATATTTCTACTCATGATACGGTGAACATAAAGAAAGAGATGGTAATATCTTTGATAATAATATGTTTAAAATTTATCTGAGACGCGCATTCGCACTCTTACCTCGAAAGTTGTCTATCTTCGTATCGCGAAAGACGTGTATGTCGACGTCAGCCGTATGCATCTCTTCTCTCGTGATGTTCGCGATGAAATTGTAAATGTTTCTTACAACATCGTGATAGTCGGCTTTATTGTCAAAGACGCTTTTCTCGATAACGACCGCTATGGACCGAGGGAAGAATTTTTGTCTCGTTAATACATATACGCAAAATTAATTTTTTTTTTTTTTTTTGTTAAGATAGAGAGAATCGTCCGTACCCATTGAGGCATTGGCGGATATCAGCGACGGAAAGTCATTAAAGGCGTCAACTGAATTTAGGATCCACGCGAGGAAGAAGACGGAGACCATGTCTATCGGCGAAAATCGAATTGAAGCACGTCGTGCCAGCCGGTCGATATATAAGGGGGGACATTGTTCAATGATATATGAGCTCATTACTTTCGTCGATCCATTATTATCGTATCAACCGGAACTTCGTCAAGCTGAGCCAGAACGCAATTGTAGACTGTGCGCACTTGTAGACTCGTATCGTAACTTGTACCGAGGGAGAAAAGGTCGATCTTTGAATAACTTATTAAGGAACGATCGAATCTCATCGCGACTTGAACAGTAATGCATCATTGGCCTATATGGGCGAGGCTACGAATGCGTGTTGTGAGAAATCATTGCGGAAAAGTCAACTTGATCGATTCTCCCTCAATCCACTACTATAACTATTTCAGATTCTTCTCTTGATGACTTTTTGATAGTATATTTCACATCAATAAGGTGAAAAGATCCTCTGGTCATTAATATTGGCCTATATTTCTCAAACATTTTAATTTAACAAGCAGATTTCAAAACCCTACTGTGATATACTACATCTTATTTCATTCCAGTAAATTATTTTTTGAAAAATAATTGCTTACACAGAGAGTGTCTACTCCCTGGAAAAACATGGAAAACCTGTAATCCTCATGAAATTTTTTTGTACCTGGAAAAATCAAGGAATTTGCATGGAATTTTATTGGAATTCTGAAAACATGTTTTAAAAAGATATCTCTGATAAGTTTGCTCTTATATTGTAAGTAATCGGCAATCCGATAAGCCAGGTTATGAATTTATACGTTTTTAAGATATATTATAAATATATATATTTAGCTCTATTTAGATATTCAATGTCTTAACAAAATATTGAATATGCAATACATATTGTTTACTGTAATTTTCAATGATAAAAAAATGAGAATGTTGTGCAAGTAAAAAATGTTTATCTTACGAAAGTTATCCAGTTTTTTGAGTACATTTGAAAATTTAACACTTGAAACTTTAGTGGCTCCGTGTTTTTTCTTCATATATGAGTAAAAAGCATTAGAAAACGCATACAATAAAAAAACTTCCTACACAACATGCATATCCAAAAGACATCCCGAAGACATCTTTGAACGATGGGATATTTTCGAGATGTCCTTTGACCGTCCTTTGGATATGCATGTTGTGTGAGTTACTGCAAAAAATTGTACCAAAAATCTTGATAATATTCTCTTTACCTGGAATTTTAAAAATATCTGGAAGGTTAGGGAATTTTGAGGGAATATTTTTACAAAATTTGAGTAGACACCCTGTTATAGCATAAATACCACTGATATATATACATGGATAGTTGATGCGCGTGCATTTGTGTCCCCAATTGAAGGTCGCCATGTTAAAGGAAAGTTGTCACGCATGCGCGTTTAACCGTGTTCAAGCGTATTGGATCCACTGATATTTATGGTTGGATCCTATAGAGTTGTGTAGGTTAGAGTATTTAGGAGAGGAATGCAGAAAAAAAAATATAATTGTTATAATAATACAAAATTCTGCTTTTTAAATTTCACGAATTAAAATGGGACACTGTTACTTTTGTAATAATACAAAAACTCATGAATCTGGATTAACATTTCACAAGTAAGTGTATTGCATTGCTTTATCTATATTGTATTTACAATAAAGTATTTTTTCATTAAGTACTTTTTGAGTTATTTTATATTTTATTCTGACATATTTTGAACATGTTTTTCTATCGGGAAACAAAGGCATTCCCCTTCCATTTATATATGTTCTAAGGTTCATACTTCAGCCGCTAGTTTGTTTATTTACCGCTATGCGACACGCGATGCGCCCCATCTCGTATTTGAGTTTCAGTCATGAAGTAAGAGAGAAGGAGATCGAACTCCGTAAAACAAAAGCGAAAAATAATATTAGGAGTTTTGTGGCATTTTGTATGAATATTAATACAACGTTACGCGCAAAGTCTCTGAGATGTTAATGGAATGAGTTTGGAATGTTTGGACGAACAGTTTCATGTCGTTGGGAAGTTGATGGCAGGTTTATTAATCTCCGTGGAATGTTACCGTCTTACAATTTAAGATGTGACTTTATTGGGATATTGGTGTGCCTTGAAGGCTATTATTCATCCATCAAAGCTCCATGAAATATCCGTGATTATACCATATGACGTCCATATGACATCCATCAATACGTCTAATGGATGTTGAATGGAAGTAAGAAATGCGGAATTGTGGATGTCTAGTAGATGTCTATAGGAGATTACATGGACATCTAATAGAGGTTTCGAATCTCCATGATGGATCTACTGGATCCATTAGAGGTTTTTGTTCCGTGTGGGCTTTGGTGCGGCTTATGAGCATATATCGCTCTACACTTTTTTGTCTCTTTTTCTACTGCTTTTTCTACTGCAAATGCGTTTCGATTTTCATTGCTGCCACAGTCTATTGATAATTTCGGAACGATTGAAATACGTTGATTTTTTTGCAAAAGTTCCTTATGAAAAATAATATTAGGAGTTTTGTGGCATGTTGTATGAATATTAATACAACGTTACGCGCAAAGTCTCTGGGATGTTAATGGAATGAGTTTGGAGTGTTTGGACGAACATTTTCATGTCGCTGGGAAGTTGATGGCAGGTTTATTAATCTCCGTGGAATGTTACCGTCTTACAATTTAAGATGTGACTTTATTGGGATATTGGTGTGCCTTGAAGGCTATTATTCATCCATCAAAGCTCCATGAAATATCCATGATTATACCATATGACGTCCATGTGACATCTATGAATACGTCTAATGGATGTCAAATGGAAGTAAGAAATGCGGAATTGTGGATGTCTAGTAGATGTCTATAGGAGATTACATGGACATCTAATAGAGGTTTTGAATCTCCATGATGGACGTCTACTGGACATCCATTAAAGGTTTTTTTGTTCTGTGTGGGTTGGCATTTGATAAGTAAACGTAACCCATTGTCTGCATTCTACTCTATATAAATGCCCACGCACATCAGGATGAGTAGAGGGAACTCAAATATCATCGGAAATCATTTCGCTAAAATTTCCTGGAACGAATGCATGCATTTATACATATATATCTTCGTTTTAAAAATACTTTACATTTATTACTGTTTTTTCGATCTTGAAGCGTAAAAAAAATTTGCGTTCAGTTTAGCAGATGACAACAGCTAATTCTAAAATTCTGAAAAAGAAAACCCATGCAAGTTGTCTTTTCTTTAAGAAGGCATCAGTCGATATCTCTATCTCTCTCTTTCTCATTGGATGCGTTCAGGAGACACAACCGTTGAGTATCAATCGAACGTGATTGGTTCTTACTTCTAGAATCAACAAATCAACGTCGAATGTTGACAAGATGATGCTCAACGATTATGTCTCCTGAACGCGCCCATTCTATCTGCGATCCAGAAGGATGCCATTACATAAAGCGCGGAAACGCGGATTAGCGTAACGCGGAACGAGAAGGGAACCAATCGCGAGCGTAACAAAAACTGCAGAATGCACGCGATTGGTTTCACTCTTGTTCCGCGTTACGCTAATCCGCGCTCCATGTAATAGCACCCGAAGGGACTGACGCGCGCGGCAATTCGAATGACATTGTGCGCTTGCGCGTGTGCGTGCACAATCCTTAGAACATATATAAATGGAAGGGGAATAGCAGGCTGAAAAGTGTCGGAAGGAAGTGAGAAAGAAAATCGTAGTTGCCTCTCTCTTGTGAATAACTACACATACAAGCATCGTGTCCGTAGTATACATACTTTTGTGTACACCCTGCCGAAAATGGTCGATTAAAACCGATTAAAACATAATCCGTTTTAATCGGTTCGATTTTCTTTCTCACTTCCTTCCGACATGTTTTTCTATCGGGAAACAAAGGCATTCCCCTTCCATTTATATATGTTCTAAGGCACAATCCGTGTGCGACGCCATCGCGCGTGCGCGCGGGGAACAGTTGGGAACTTCAGAGGACAATCGAGTGCGAAAGTGCGAATAGGACGTAGGAGTGTGTCGGTAGGAACGGGAGTCGTAAGGAGCGTTAAGCCCGTATCAGACTACGCATTGAAGATTGAGATTGAAGATTGAAATTTGATCAATCAAAAAAAGAAATTTTAGTCCCTTTTGTTCTGATTAGTCAAATTCCAATCTTTAATCTTCAATCTTCAATTTTCAATGCGTAGTCTGATACGGGCTTTAAGCGGAGAGCACATACTTCTGCATAAGCGCATAATCATAAGCATAAGGAAATTGATTGGTCAATTTCGTTATGCATAAGGAAATGGACCAATCAATTTCTGTATGCTTGTGATTATGCGCTTATGCAAAAGTGTGTGTTCTCCGCTTTAAGGCCATCACACACAAAATTCCGTAAGGCCCTGCGCACAATAGAGGAAATATTAGGAATAGGAATAAAATATTAAAGATCAGGAGGAGCAATTTGGAATTATTTTACTTCAAACAAGGAAACGGAATGGGTTAATTATTTCTATGTCAATCGTGTACTTTGACGACATTATAATAATGAATATTTTATTGCATACATAAGAGTACATTTACTTTCTAACGTATACATTACTTTTATTTTTAACATAAAATGTACTAGTACATATGTATAAGAAATAAATTACCAATTGGCTAGTACAACGACAGTACAAAACTATTTACAATAATATATCATATGATTAATATGACGACACTATTATTTTTTATGAAACAATTATTTTAACGACATTCTATATATCAACTATTTTAAAATACACAATGGAATTTAACTAATCAGAACAAAAAGGACTAAAATTTCTTTATTCTGATTGGTCAAATTTCAATCTTGAATCTTGAATCTCAATCTTCAATGCGTAGTCTGATACGGGCATAAGAAAATTGACCAATTCCAATCAAATATTGAGCTTTCCGTAAAAGTAGAGGGGTTACGGAGAGCCAAATACTCGATTGGGATTGGTCAATTTTCTTACGCTTACGTTTTATGTCCTTACGGAATTTTGTGTGATGGCCTTTAAGCCCGTATCAGACTACGCATTGAAAATTGAAGATTGAAGATTAAAGATTGGAATTTAACTAATCAGAACAAAAAGGACTAAAATTTCTTTATTCTGATTGGTCAAATTTCAATCTTGAATCTTGAATCTCAATCTTCAATGCGTAGTCTGATACGGGCATAAGAAAATTGACCAATTCCAATCAAATATTGAGCTTTCCGTAAAAGTAGAGGGGTTACGGAGAGCCAAATACTCGATTGGGATTGGTCAATTTTCTTACGCTTACGTTTTATGTCCTTACGGAATTTTGTGTGATGGCCTTTAAGCCCGTATCAGACTACGCATTGAAAATTGAAGATTGAAGATTAAAGATTGGAATTTAACTAATCAGAACAAAAAGGACTAAAATTTCTTTATTCTGATTGGTCAAATTTCAATCTTGAATCTTGAATCTCAATCTTCAATGCGTAGTCTGATACGGGCATAAGAAAATTGACCAATTCCAATCAAATATTGAGCTTTCCGTAAAAGTAGAGGGGTTACGGAGAGCCAAATACTCGATTGGGATTGGTCAATTTTCTTACGCTTACGTTTTATGTCCTTACGGAATTTTGTGTGATGGCCTTTAAGCCCGTATCAGACTACGCATTGAAAATTGAAGATTGAAGATTAAAGATTGGAATTTAACTAATCAGAACAAAAAGGACTAAAATTTCTTTATTCTGATTGGTCAAATTTCAATCTTGAATCTTGAATCTCAATCTTCAATGCGTAGTCTGATACGGGCATAAGAAAATTGACCAATTCCAATCAAATATTGAGCTTTCCGTAAAAGTAGAGGGGTTACGGAGAGCCAAATACTCGATTGGGATTGGTCAATTTTCTTACGCTTACGTTTTATGTCCTTACGGAATTTTGTGTGATGGCCTTTAAGCCCGTATCAGACTACGCATTGAAAATTGAAGATTAAAGATTAAAGATTGAGAGATAAACTCTGAACTAGTGAAGCTATTTCAGTTATAAAGGATAAACTTCATTATTGCTTCAACAAATATTGAATAATATAAGTTCATAAATAAATGTTGATCATTCCATTAGAGATCACAAAATTATATCCCACTCGGCATGTAATATTTCTGATACATTGCTGCAATATTCCATTTGAAATATTACACCTTTCAACAATATTACAGAAATATTTCACGACTGTTTCTGCAACATTTCTGCAATGTTTCAATGTCCGCAATTATTTCAAATGCAACCTTGCTAAAAGATTTCAGCAATATTTCGGTAATATTACTGAAATATTCCGGAATTAGATTTTTCGTGCTTTGTAACGGATTACTTATTTATGTGCAATAATATACACATATGAAAGAGAGATACACATATATAGTACATATAATAATATATAAAAACAACATGCTCTTTATAAAAGTGTGATATGTTAAAGCACTGTCTTCCCTGATTTATTCAATAACTGAAAATTAATATACAAATGTCATTTCAATATTCTAATACATCAACAATACAAAGTTATTATAATTTTAACTATTAGTAACAGTTAATGAATTAGCATTCCACTACATATAACAAGATTCTATTAGCGGGGACTATAATATTAAAGTCACGTTCGAAAAATTCTCATGCTTTGTAATGGATTTCTTCTTGGTATTTGACATACGCTAGATCTTCTCAATCTTTAATGCGTAGTCTGATACGGGCTTTATGCACTCCCTCGTGCGTGTATATTGTACAAGACGCGTACATCGCACATCAGCATATGGCATACGGCAGCATACGTATATTTCATACGTCCATGCAACGTACTCAGCTGCGGTCGCATTCGTAGTCGGCGGTGTCCACTGTTGACGTGTCTCCACTTCATCAAGTGTCGTACTAGCGTTATCCATGAACTGAATCTCGCCGAGCGAGAATAGCTGTCAGATTGCGCGCGCACGCACGCACTTACGTACGCAAGAAAGCGAGAGAATCGCGTTGTTAACGACAGCCCGACGGAGGCGGCGACGATCGAGGAAGAGTCTCGTTGTGAAAGTGGAAAAAATATTGTCCATCCTTTTTCTTTTCACGTAAGAACAAAGGATATACGCCTGCCTGGTATATACATGAGGAACTCTCCGTGCCGATGAAACCTTCGATCGCCAGCAATGGAGCCCGAGGAGCCTCTGATGCAAGGGATTCTGCTGTTACCACCGCAGGGAATGCTAGGTCAACTCAAGGTTGGTCTCGCGCGAAAAGATAACTTGTGCGGACGTGATATGTGTGATAACGCGCATCATTTATGAACGGCTGTTCGTGCTTTCCCGATCTCTCTCCTTAGAGATTAAAAGGGTAGTAAAAAAACAGAAACTTTGGATAAAAAACTCGGTAAAAAAACTGTTTTTTACTCTCCCAAAAAGGGATTTTTTACTCCATTAAATACTCAGAATATACATTTTCAAATGTATAACAAGAATTTAATTTTAATGCTTATTTATTAACCTTTGATGCACCGCTTTGAAAAATGAGCATCAAATTTACTAAAATTAGGTATCAAATTTCATGTCTTATGTTATTCTCACTTCTGGTCCACAAAATAACAAAACTAACAACAGTTTAACTATGCTTGAGAGAGTTTTCTTTTAACTTCTGAAATTGATGAAACTTTAGAAATAAAGAACATCAAAAAATACCATTGAATTATAAAAATCAAAATTAATCTGTTTTAAAATATTTGAACTCAACTAATTAAATGCAAAGTAATCAGCTCAACCGCATCCATTGAAATTGATTACTGACCCAACAAACAAAATTAATCTAATTCCCATACCATCTTTTGTTTGAAGGAAACAGGCACTATCCTAATACTCTATCACCAATACAAAGTTCTTATTATTTCAATTATCAATATAAATGAGTGTTGATCACACCACTACAGATCACAAGATTCTATTAGCGGAGACCATAATATTGAACTCTCGCTTAAAAGATTCTCATGCTTTGTAATATATTCCTTTTTAACATTCGGTGCACGCTGGATCTGTGTGTGGTTTGCAAATTAATATCCATTATTGTTACCTGCTAAAATCAAAATAAATGATAAGATATGACATTAAAACATTATATGCATATTTTATAATTAATTACTTATATTGATTTTATGCGTTAATCTACTACTCATATTTTTTAATATCCTTGCTCTTCTATTAATAGTGCGTTACATGTAAGCAAGTAATACTTTTTATAGACATGGCAAGTACGAAATGTTAAATTATCAAAGTATCACTTCTGCTTTGAACATGTTGATATATCGTGTGAGACATACACTAGATATACATATATAATGAAACATTTAGCAATGTGACATAAAGAATACATAATATTGCATTTTGAATCTTGAACATTAAATCATTTTACTTTATCAGAAATATATAACTTAATCTTCCAAACATAAATCTGATTTTTAAACATATGTTGAAATTGAGAAAAATATTATTGATTCCTCAATAAATCCAGCATATGACTGGCTAACCATTTATGTTTTTGTTATCTTTCAATGGATTTAGAAATCTGGACAGTAATAATGGATTTACATTGAATCCCACATTTTATATTCTCTGAATTATATTCTCTGAAAATAGCTGACAATATTAGATCACCTGCTTTACAAATTAATGGGCAACCACAAAGAAAGTTCTCAGTAACATCAGAAACATACATGAAATACATTATAAAATCTTTAGTATGTGATATAGGCAACAAATAATATTGCATTTTTTAGGCTTGCATTTGCTTACATTAAACTACTTTAATCTATCATAAATACATGATCTGAACTCAAAACATAAATATGATTCTCCAAACATATGTCGCAACCAAAAAAATATTAGTGCTTCTCAAATAAATCTAATACATAATCGCTGAGTGTTGATGTTTCCACAACATTTCACAAGATTCTAATAGCGGAGACAATAATAATGAACTCTCGCTTAAAAGAATCTCGTGCTTTGTTAATGGATTCTCTCCAGACATTCTATGCAAGCTGGATCTCTGGTTTGCAAATTAGTGTGGACCTATTACTTTTGCCTGCTTAAAATTAAAATAAACATGATATAATATTAAATAGGCAGCGTGACATTAAAATCTCATTCATACAGCAATATTACCAATATCTATTGCAAGATGATGAATAAGCGTTGATCATTCCATTACAGATCACAAGATTCTATTAGCGGAGACTATAATATTGAACTCTCGCTTAAAAAATTCTCATGCTTTGTAATAGATTCCTTTTTAACATTTGGTGCACGCTGGATCTGTGTGTGGTTTCCAAATTAATATCCGTTATTGTTACCTGCCAAAATAAAAATAAATGATAAGATATGATATTAATACATACGAATTTAAAACATTTTCCTTTGTATAATAATCTTACCTGTATAATTGTTATTACCACAATTCAATTCTTTTTTTCAATTTAATAGAAAACACAATATTTATATTATTATTTCATAATGTAGTTACACAATCCCAGTATCGCTGATGTACTTCATTATTGCTTCAACAGATATTGCAAGTTGATGAATAAGCATTGATCATTCCATTACAGATCACAAGATTCTATTATCGGAGACTATAATATTGAACTCTCGCTTAAAAGATTCTCGTGCTTTGTAATGGATTCCTTTTTAACATTCTGTACACGCTGGATCTGTGTGTGGTTTGCAAATTAATATCCTATTCAGAAAGAGCACCGGCGATAATAGATAACTTCCCATACATCACCGAAAGATTGCAGAAATGTTGCATAGACCTTGCATTGAAACATTGTAATATTGCATAGAAGTTGCGAAATGTTTCTGCCATAGACATAGTATATCTAGACCGAGTGTTGAGGAGTGGGGGCCGATGCTCACGTAGAAAAGGACATACTCTGTTTCGTGCCCCTTGCGTTCTCTCTCATTCATACATGCGTAGAAATAGAGGAACAGGGAATTGGGAACGGTGGAACTGCGTAGTGAAGACCATACGTACATGTGCGTACATGATCCTGCAACTGTTTCAAACCGAAAATTCCATCGAAGAAAAATAATACAAAATGTAAGTATTGTTTTCTAAATAGAGCTATCATATTCTTAATCGAAATGATAATTATTTTCATTTATTATTATAGCAAAAGTGCGACTAGAATTGCAATAGTTAACAATGGTTAAATGCTACATATGCTGGAAAGAACATTCTGTTTTATTATCGCGGCAATTTCACAGGTAATGTATAAATTTAGAGATATGATTAGATTTTATAACTGTATATTTGTATTAGACATAAATATTCTTCAGTTTTAATCGAAAATAACGCAATATTCCCCAGACAGCACAAGGATGTCCTTAAGACGTCCAAAGGGCATCTAGGACATGTAGGATATCCTGAGGATATCCTATTTTAATCCTCGGATCTCCTCTGGATGTCCTGAGGAAGAGTAAATGATAGCCGTACACTAGCCTCTCAGCACAAGGATGTCCTTAAGACGTCCAAAGGGCATCCAGGACATACATGTAGGATATCCTGAGGATATCCTATTTTAATCCTCGGATCTCCTCTGGATGTCCTGAGGAAGAGTAAATGATAGCCGTACACTACCCAGACAGCACAAGGATGTCCTTAAGACGTCCAAAGGGCATCCAGGACATACATGTAGGATATCCTGAGGATATCCTATTTTAATCCTCGGATCTCCTCTGGATGTCCTGAGGAAGAGTAAATGATAGCCTTTAGAAATAAAGAACATCAAAAAATACCATTGAATTATAAAAATCAAAATTAATCTGTTTTAAAATATTTGAACTCAACTAATTAAATGCAAAGTAATCAGCTCAACCGCATCCATTGAAATTGATTACTGACCCAACAAACAAAATTAATCTAATTCCCATACCATCTTTTGTTTGAAGGAAACAGGCACTATCTTTCAAAATTATCAAAAAAACAGTTTTTTATCCTAAAAAATCGGTTTTTTACTTAGTTTCTTACTCCATTTTTAAAAAATTCGATTTTTTAAATCTCTGCTCTTACTCCACAGTTCCTTTCTTTTTTTTTTTTATCTTCACATTTCTTCCTTGAGTACGTTAAATACACAATAGGTATATATGGATAACATGTTTGCAATTTGTCTCGAACACCTTTGGAACGATTGTATAAAAAATGTATATCGAAGAGTAACTTATGAAATGTTTCGACATTTTCTATATAACCGAAAAGTTACAAATGAATACATATATATATGAAAATTTATTTGTTTCTAGAAAACATGGCACAAAAGATTTTGCCAGCTGTTCAGAACGAGCAACTATGGAATCAAACGCGTCGAGATCTACGATAATCAAGAGGAAGCGATATTACAGTCCCACTCTCCACGCATCGTCACACTAGATGCTTGTATAAAAATTGCCCCCAGCAATCAATCGCATGTTTTTACTGTACGTATATGCCTCTCCTCTTTTGCATTTTTATGCATGTCATTGTTCAAACTTCTTTTCTTAGCTTTGTCCTGAAAAATGATCACTTACATATTTGTTTTTTGCAGGTAGTGACTAAATCGGGAACACATTACTTTGGCTGTTATTCGGAAAATGAGATGACTCATTGGATTACAGCATTCCAATTGGTCGCTTTCAAAGATAGTGTATCAAATCAAACAATAGAAGAAAACAATGATCTGTATTGCACTACTGGAGAAGGTGTATTTTCTGTGAAAGTTGTAGAAACGGATGCATCTAAGCGATGTGGACTCGAAGCAAGAAACTATACATTAGTAATTGCCACTGTGGATATGAAATTGATGGACGGTGACAGTGTGCTATTCACATGGCCATATAAGTATATTAGAAGATATGGATACAGAGATGGAAAATTTATCTTTGAAGCTGGAAGGAAATGTGAATCTGGTGAAGGTTCCTTCCGCTTGGAACATAGCAGTCAGCAAGAGATCTTTCGATGCATGTATTCGAAAATGAGATCTATGAAAAAGCTATTAAACGAAGAGAACAATCCAAACATAGAATACAATGACGCTCAATATCATGCAGCTTTGTCCATGGAAGCTGGCTCCAGAGCGGCCTTACCCCCCTCTCCAAATAACTCTAGCAATCTAATCGACATAGATTTTCCTATGCCGCAGAGTTCTCAAAAACCATTGACTTCATCATCGAGTATAGATTCTGCCATCTCATCAAACAAATCGATAAATAAGTCTAAACCTACCAAGCCACCACGAAAATATTTTGGTAATCTGCTGGAGAAGAAGAATCTCGACTCGGAATTTCTAGATTTACCCACGTGCGGGGAATACAGAACATTAAGCCAAGCTAATTCGCCAGAATTGTCTCACAAGTCCATAGGTGGTGTTATACGTGAGGAAGAGGAGAAACACTCGTATGACCTAGTAGAAATAAGAAACGACGCGTGGAAAACGCATGGCATTGATAGCGTGCATCACACTGAGAGGGTAAATTCGAGTTTACCCGGGGAACGAGATAAAGAGAACGATAACGATGATTTACAATACGAGATCATGATGCCGATACGGAATCATGATGCGCCATTCCAAAATTCGTGCAAAAGTAAGGGCGGTGATTTCACACCGTCGGTGATACAAAATATCACCAAGACAGACGAGTCGGATTATGACAAGTTGGAGCACTTTGGATCCGCAATGAAACTCGGTCCGAAATCTACATACAAGTATACGAATTCCTCGCAAAGCATACATTCCAATATATCTCATGGGGAAAGTTCTAATCTTATTAATCCGGCGTGGTCCAATTACGATATCGTCGAAGATATGTCTGCCGTTAGATTAGCCGACGATAGTCATCTGGGTTACGGAATTATCCGGAAGAAACCGGATCCTTCCGAGACAATTTCCACCAGTGGTAATTTCGCGAGTAGTCCACAACATAAGGTTTTTAACAACAGCGAATACGCAATTGTATCGAAGCCAAAAAGGGTATAAAATACCCAAACGTTCGAATATCCTTTCAAAGTATTACGAACGCGCGACAAATTGTCTTTAAACTTACGTTTCCAAAATTCTTGTTCACTCTTTTATAATTAATTGTAAGAATATGAAGAATATGCTAGTCTGTGCCTGTGTGCATCCTACGTGGCTCGAGTAAATTTATTTCTCGCTTTACAAAATTGCATTGTAAAATTATTAACTTATATATCGCGAAACGATACAAAAAGATGCAATTCCTTCTGCCCGGTATGTTTATTCGCTTTCTATATCTAGCATTTATAGAGATGGAGAGAAAAAAACCTAGTCTTTTTATTAAAAATTTAAACATTTAAAACTTCCACAATTGTGTCTTTGTACGAGAGATTTTATTCTATTATTGATTAGGAAGGCTCAGTGTGATTAAGATTTTATCTAATTGCAGTCGACTGATTTATGAAAATACAATGTGTAATGCTTTACATACGAAAACATTTTAATTGATGCCAAATTGACATAGTTAAACAATCTTAAACACGTGCATGCGCATGAAATCTCTATTGATATTTCAATATATATAATATATATATTATATATTGGTGTACTTAGAGAAATTTACTATGATATATATATATATTTTACAATTAAGACTTTTTAACTACTATTGCTTCTATTCTCGATCGTTATACCCTATTGTTATCGCGCTTATTATATAACTGCTGCACTTACAAAAATGCAAGAATTTGCAGTGATTATTTTACAGAAGACGATTATTACTATACTGGCACACCTATACCAAGTATAAGATTAAAAAAAACTGCAATTCCGTCTGTTCTTACACAAAGGTAATAAATTTTTTTAAATTAGTTTTAGTTTAAGATTACGATATTTTAAAAATATAATATAAAACATTTTAAAGAAATTTTTTCTATATTTTTTGTTTTCTACAACAGATCTTGTAGAAGTTCCAAGAAAGATACAAGAAGCAATATTCAAAATAACAATCAAAATGAATCATTAATAGATATTGAATATGAATCAACAATGGATATCCAACATCAATCAGCAATAGATGTTCAACAATCAACCCTCGACAATCATGACAATTCAACAATTCAACATGACAATCTTATTTTGGCTAAACCAATAGTTGTCGAGAATACAGTAACACATAATAATATCAGTCGAAAAAGGTGAAATAGACACGAAAATAAAAAAAAAACATTATATATAATTTGCTCTGACTACCAAGTATAAATAAACTCATTTGTTTCAGAAAACAATGTAATAATACGGAACAGATTTTCCTAAAGACTGGTAAATATAACATAGAATGTATAAGAAAAACGGAATTTGCTACTAATCAAGCTTGGAGTAAGTTTGTAAAATATGTTAATTATAATAGATATTTGCACAAACTTTCTGTGACACGAAAGTCACGTGTACAGAAGAAAATAGAAACTTTACAAAAAGATAGTTCATACCTTCTGAAGAGTGTCGAAGGAAGTGAGAAAGAAATCGTAGTTGCCTATCTCTTGTGAGTAACTACACATACAAGCATCGTGTCTGAGTATACATACTTTTGTGTACACACACATGGCCGCGCATGCGCACTTTTGAGCAACTATTCTCGATCGTTATACCCTATTGTTATCGCGCTTATTATATAACTGCTGCTATAATATGAACAATTCATGATTATATATCTTTTTTAATTTTATCATATCTTTGAACAGAAGCGGAGCATTTATTCTATGCAGATGTGTTATATAAATTTAGTCTATATTTGAATAGTGTAAAATTTTCTATATATAAATGTAAATGTTCCGACACAAATGCTTTTGCAAACAGGTAGATCATCATAATTAGATAAACTCTCGCGTAGATATTTAACGTTACGCTGCCGCAATTCTATTATATATTATATCACAATGAATATTAGTGCTTTCGTCAGCAATAAAGTCAGCTTATTGCCTTAATTTACATATAACTTTCTGAAAATCACTATCAGATTGGAATAATCCAATCATCACTATCAAGTGATAATCTGAATAATTCAAAATAATATTATCGAGAGTAAACAAAAAATTTCTATTTCGTTTCTCTTGATTAAAATATTATATATGTATTTAGTATGTATATATAAATGTACATATATATATACACGTTTAAAGTATAAGGCGATAATTGACAAGCTACAGAAATCACTATCATTCATTATATAAATTAATCACTGCAGGTCATTTGCAATAATAGCATATATATAGAAATAAATAACTAATTACCTTTTGTATATATTTTTTTATCTGCACAGAGATTTTTTAAAATTGTACATAGAGAAAGTATCATAATGATTTTAAGATGAATTTGTTAAAAGGCTGTAATGTGTCCCCCTTGTGCCAAACTAATGGTCTGCCATTGGTAGGAATATTGTCTAAGTAATATATATAGGCGATTATATATTCAGATAAGAGTTGCGCTGCATTCAACAAATTCTAAAAATATAACAGATATGAATCGTAAATTTATTTTTTAGAACAAGTATTGTCAAACTATATTTTCATCAGATATTTTTAATAAAAGAATGTTTCAAAAAACTTTGCGCAAGACATGCATACAAGATTGATGCTTGCATATACACATGATCTTGTACACATTTTTTACCATTTGTAAATGTCAATGATAAAGTTTATACCTGCAGAGAAATAAATTCTCATGACATTTAAAAAAATGTTAATATTTTCCTACAATATATATTTCGATCCGTACATGTAACAATACAATTATCGAAATATAAATTAATATAGATTTTTTTTAGTACATTCTTCACAATTAAAATTTGTGAAATATATATTTATCTAAGCAATTTGCATACAATTTTAATTACATTCATCAATGTTACATGTTACATCACTGAGAGAGAGAGAGAGAGATGTCCAAATTATACAAATAAATGTGTAGTAAATTTCACATATTTATATTAATTATTACTCTTGTTCTAGCATGGTTAAATGAGACGTCAATTTTCTTTCTCTTTTAGTACTTCAATCTTTTTAATTTTATCATCACACTCATTGTTCGAGTGCAATGTTGTCGTTTCTTTTGTCTCGCTAGCATTTTTCTGATGTAATTTGAACTCTTCATTTGCAACAGCCTCGAAATAGCCCTCCTTATCGTCCGCTATTCTTCGTACTGTCTCTCCTTTTAATGCCATTATTTTCTCGATATTTGTTCTAGTACTTATTTCAGAAAACCATCCTAAATTATCGGCAATAAGATGGTTGTTCTTACAACCGTTGCATCTCACTATTACTACACCTTTATTATACGCCAACTTGGATATTAGCCTAGTGTTTCTCGTGCAGCATCTTTTACATGTAAACATCAATTTCAGTTTTCCTTCCAGCTTATCCAATTCCTTGCAATTTTTATCGTTTTCGTGAAGGAGACGGCTCGGACTCCGGAATGCTCCGATATCATTTTTAAATACGATCGGAGTGCGACGATGATATACGGAGTATTGACTACACGCTATACGTGCAGCGAAATGTAAAGCTCGCCGAATGGAAAACATATTAAACTCGCCTTTCGGTGCCCCAGGGTACACACACACATACATACAATATATATATATATATATATATATATATATATATATATATATATTTATTTATTTTTATTCACTTGAAAACTATTCTTTCTAGTTCCCAAAAAACGTATGTCGAGAGATAAATTTTAGATTATGCTCCTGCTTTTCTGTAATATTGCGCGTTCAGCAAAGCTACGTCATAGACATAGTATATCTAGGCCGGTATTCATAGTCAGTTCTTATTTCAAGACCGTCTTAAGGGCCGTCTACAATGGCAGTAACAAGGCTGTAGGAGTAGGAGAGTATACTTTTAAGAGCAAATAAGATATACTATGTCTATGGACTACGTTTACATGTCACCCATGATGTAATCATAGACATAGGGCGCGTTCAGCAGAGAAAACCGCTCAGTAGCAATCGAACGTGATTGGCTCTTACTTTTAGAACCAACAAATCAACGTTGAGTGTTGACAAGGCAATAACTGAGCGCTTCTCTGCCGAACGCGCCCATAGGCCGGTATTCATAGTCAGTACTTATATTTAAGGGCCACCGCACAAGCTTTTCCGTAATGCATTACGTTACGTTAAGTACTGATTCTAAACCTAAACTCGTACGTAATCTTGAACTTCAGTCAACGCACAAACAAAATCGTAACGTAGTATGCTTTTGTTACGTTACGATTTTCTCTGTGCGTTGACTGAAGTTTAAGATTACGTACGAGTTTAGGTTTAGAATAAGTACTTAACGTAACGTAATGCATTACGGAAAAGCTTGTGCGGTGGCCCTTATTCTGCTCAAGCCCTAAAGCCTATAGCGGGGAGCACACACTTTTGCATAAGCGCATAATCACAAGCATACAGAAATTGATTGGTCCATTTTCTTATGCATAAGGAAATTGACCAATCAAATTCCTTATGCTTATGATTATGCGCTTATGCAAAAGTGTGTGCTCCCCGCTTAACGCTCTAGCCTAGTGTGCACGTCATAGCCAGTAAGCCGTAGTAATAAGTCCACTAGTCGTAGACGCACCGTAGAAAGTAAGCTAGTCGTAAGCCCGCTTGTAATATACGCGTCGTAGACAGT